TTGATATCAAAATCTATGTAGCTGTGGTTATCTATGACGGTTGTAGTCAACATCTTCAGCAGGAGATTGTTAGTTGCATTTAAGCTTCATATCATGCTATGCATAATGTATGTAGTGTGTATATATCATATTAATGAGAATGTGGGATTTCCTTATTTCTAATAATTTCCCCTTCATGTGAGATTATGCATGGCCATAACCTAGCATATTTTTGTTGTTCTGTTTTATTGGTTCAATTTTTTTTTTCATTAAATATATAGAGTGCTTTAGTTACTTTTTTTACTTTCTAATTTTAAAGATCCTCTTTTCCATGTTTTGTGACTCCTTGCCCTAAGAAAATGAATGCATAGTTTCATTTTCTGCATCATAAATTGATGAAAGTAATGAAGCTTGATAGATGGGTGGCAAACCAGACGCCCATGGCTTAAAAATAAGTTTCATGAAGGAAATAGTGAAATTCGTGAAGTCAGTCCAAGGTACGTTTCTATCAAATACATACTCTAACTTGTAATAGTTTGAATGGCATTTGATGACCTACGTTAAATGAATTGATTGCCATTCATTTTTGAAGGAGCAGGTGTTCCAAATTTCATCAGAAAGGCTGTGGATTCGTTCTGGACTGTCTAGCTACCAATTCAGAGCCTGGCACTAAAACACTCACAGGTCTGTGGGATCATAAATATATCTGCTTGACTAAAGTAGAAGGGCTGTCTTTGTGCTTAACTATGCTGACAGGGAAAAAAAACCTTGGATTTTATACTTTAAAGTAGCATAGAACAACTCAAGTGAGTATTTAGGGTTTAGAGCCTAGATGAAAGGTTTCTATTAGTTTAGTATATTCAAATGTGATTGTTTATAATGCAGTTGTGTTTTAAAGACTTCATAGAATTAGATTGTACTGTTCTAAGAGTTTGCACATCATCTACTCCAAAGAACATTCAGTCTAGGTATAAAATGAGATAATTGATGGATATAGGCAGCATGCTGATGTAATGCTACAGCATTGGTCAGTATAACAGAGATAAACATTCCTGATCTATTTTAAATCCAGATAGGAAAAAACATCCTGACATGATGTTTTGACTTAAAAATGCCTGTCTTATGTGTACCATGTGCTTATGATGGTATTGGAATACTTGAGTTGTATTGATAATGCCAACTAAACACAGAAAATGTAGTCACCACCTTGCTAAATCATGTGTACTTTATTGCCTTGTTAGATAAAGCTGCCCCTTGGCAGCCTTTCCCATCATCATTGTTTTATTAATGAGTAGTTTTGCTTTGCATTTTGAAACAAGACATTCCTCTTCTGGCAGACTGTGCTTTCTGAGGATGCTAATGCAGATTGTATATGAAATGAGTGATGACTCTCAATGTGACAAAACACATAAGTAATTTATGAATTATAAAGCCTCTTATAGGCTACTGAGCAAGCATATCCAACTGTGTGAGGATGAAATTATCATATCAGTTATGTATTTTTAAAAGAAATTAATTTCTTTTTTACTTGCTTTTACGAAGCAGTCCACTCCAGGGTCTGTTTCATCACAAAATAGTGGCAGACAAATTTTGTTAGGTTGTTTCCGGTTTTCTCTTTCGTTTAGACCTCTCGGAAATCAGAGCTTCTTTTCCATTTTGACAATGGACAAACTGGTGAAGACCTTTTGATATGCTTCAGTGTAGGAAGTCTGTAGTTAAGAGATAAGTAGCAGTGATTATTGACTGACTTTTTTATTTTCAAGGACAAGATTAAAGACTGTGAAATATTGTTCCTTTCATTGATCCTTTGATGTTAATGGGCAAACACATACTGATTTCAGTAGGTCTAGATTGTTGCTCTGTCTGCATTTTTGAACAAATTTACTTTAGAACTTGATTTATGATAATTAACTTATTTCCAAAGAAAATATCTAAGCCTTGCCCAGCTAGTATGACATTTTCATTTTTTTTCTTTATTTGCAAAATTAATCAATGTTTGAAGAAAAAAATCATGATTGGAGGCAGCACAGCCAAAATTCTACCTCAGCTGGAGATACCCCTGCCTTTATTTATTTATTTATTTATTTTTGAGAGAGTCTCAGAAAATAAAAGCTTGGAAATACACTGCCTAAGTTAGTCAGCTTTGGGGAGTTTTTCAAAGACATAATACCCACCAAAATCTTTTTGTTTATGGCAAATAGGTAGATTAGAGACATCTTGTAACATCTTTGTGTATGCAGTCCAAGATTTCCAGTACAAAATAATTTTTTGTAGTATTTTTTCACTTGAATTTATAATTAGGTCAGGCAGAGTAAGAAAACAAGCATGAGACTTCATTGGAAACTTGCTTACATCCTTTGACACAAATTCTATACCGAGTGTTGGCTGGCCAAGTAAATGGAAGGAACATGAGTATAATAAACATTTTTTGTGGTGTTTTTTTTTTTTCCTCCTCTTCAAATTTGAAGTATATAGTATACAGTTCTTGCTTTTACTCTGAAAGAAAAATTTGAACAACTGCAGAATAAGAAAGAACATAAGTTTATTTTACTGCCATACAACTATTCTTGATGTATCTTGGAAGATATTTCCCTTGACTGTCGGTACATTTCTGAGCTACTGCAGCACTGCTTACTTAAGAAGTGTGTGCTGAATCTAGGGAAATTTTGTTAGGTCATTTCAGCTTTTACTTCTGCTTTCCCTGAAGAACATTCATATTCATGCTTGGGGTCTGCTCTCTACTCCAGTGTTTGTTACAGTGCCATTTTTAATCCTCTTTCTTTCCTTAGCTTTCTGAGAAGTCCAGATCAGCCCTGTCCTGTCTCCTTTACCATGCAGTGGCCACTGTGACTCACTATTGATGCCTTAGCTTGTCACATTCACTTTTGAAAGGACTTCAAGATATTTGCAAAGTTTGGAAGAGGAGTTACTAGCTAACAGTAGGTTCTACTGTTCTCCTAGGCTAGGACTTCTAGCAGGATGTCATTAACGTGAATCTCTTTGAGATGGGAGAAAGGTAGAAAAAATGGAATGATGCAGTAGTTGAAATCTCTGTGCTTGACTTGTGCACTTCTAGCAGTGTGCAATCCACAAGGTGAAGTGCAAACACAATGTGACTTTTTTTTTTTTCCAAGATCATCCTTGTAATAAGAGCTTATGTTTTCAGAAAGGACACCTTCAAACGGAGATATCCCAAATCTAGCCAGTTAGGTGTTCTTGTCCTGTTCTTGTGGGTGTTGAGTGCAAGGCATTTCAATGCTTTTGGAAAATGAAAGCATTCTAATCTATGTGATGAAAAAGCATGACTTAAGAGACCTTATTTTTTATTTTTATCGTGGTCAGCTCTATGCCTTTGCAAATCAGGCAGTTGCTTGCATACAGCAAAGCAGCCTTGATGGTGTCCTGAGGTGTCCTCGGGACTCCTTCCTGCTGGCTGGAACAGACTCGCTCTCTCCTCCCCTGCTGCTCAGAGGTCTGCAGTGCCGACAGGACACGAGCTCTCCCCAGTTCATCCTGGAAAAAATACGGAAGCGCCCAGGCAGAGGAACGGGCAGATAGATCCCTGTTACTGTCGGGAAATGTGTAAGAAGGAGACAGGTGACATCTGCTTCCCCTTAGTCTTTCAACCCCGACTCCTCTTTTCCTTCGCTAGCCCGCATTTGTCTTCCTGCCCAGCCCTCGGGCCGTCCGATCTCATTTACGGGGTCTACCGCCAGATCCGCAGACAGCTGTAGTTTCTTGGCCGCGGGTTTCGGCGTTGGGCCGCTGCGTGGCGGAGCGGCGGCGGCAGCGCAGCACAGCAGCACCTTTGACGTGCCCGTTCCCCACGTGACGGCCGCTCCATTGCGGGGCGGGCGCTGAGCTGCCGCCGCTCCACCAGAGCGGGGAGAGCCGCAGCCGCAGCGTGTGTGCGTGCGCGCGTGTGTGTGATGAGCGATCGCCGCGTCCCTCCGCCCGCCGCCGGCTGACACCCCCAGCGCCGGGCGCGCCAGGAGCAGCGGCAGGAGGAGCCGAGGAGCCGCGGCCACCCCGCACTGACCTTGGCCCGGGAGGTAACCGAGCTCCGCGCCTTCCCCGCGGCCGTGCCGAGAGCTCTCAGGCGCCGCTGCCGCTGTCCGCGGTGCTGAAAGCGCCGCGCCGCTCTGCCCGCAGGGCTCCCCCGGCCCTTTGCCGCTGGGAGGTGCGGGCACGGCGGGGCAGGCGCCGGGCGGGGCGTGCCGAGGGCGAGATGCGGCTCAGCCCCCATCGGGAGGTCTGGGGAAGGGTTCGGGGGGGTTCCGGGAGGAGATGCTTGGGGCAGAGCTTAGTCCGCCCCGCTCTCCGCAGCCTCCGGTGCCGTCTGTAGATGGAGCACATTCTTACACCTGCGTGCAAAGCCGGAGCTACAGCAGGAGCTGAGCGCTCAGTGCGGCTCCCGGGTGAGCGTGAGGGGGGGGGGGGGAGCCGGGGCTGGCGGCTCAGACGAGGCTTTGCGGTGAACTCCGATGAAAGTAGCTGAAAGCAAGCGGGAGCGCGTTGTCGTGTTTTTGTTTGGTGCCGAGAGAAGTTTTTAAGGAGGCTGTTCTTCTCACTGTGTGTTTGAGGGTTGTGGAAGTTGCTTTTGTTCGAGCCGTGAGATTAAGGCAGACCTGAACACAAAGTCTTGGGCCCTGTCAGTCCTCCCCCCCCCCCAAACTCTGGTCAGGAGGGTGCTGAGCATCCCTGGTTGGAAGTGCATATCAGGAGGGAATGCCTGGGGCGAGGCTCCTCATGATGTGGTGGTTAGTGAGATGTCAGGGAGCTATTTGGAGCGACAATTCATTAATGTCTGAATTAGATTAACATGTTACATTCATTATTTACAGGTAAAAGAGAGTAGTGACAATAAATGCTGAATTAGCTTCAATGTAAATATCTGTAGCAAAGTTTAGAGCATACACTGAATCTAATAACATCTTGGTATAAAGTCACATCCATTAATCATCAAGGAGGGAAGGAGACCTGAGGAAGTGTCTTACTGAGACCACTTGTACCTTTTACAGCGCACCAAAAGCGGATCAAATCTGTGGGACATGGCACAAGGAAATAATTATGGGCAAAGCAGCAATGGGGTGGCTGATGAATCCCCAAACATGCTGGTGTACAGAAAGGTAAGCTTTGTTTTATGAAATCTGAAGAAGGTGCTTCAGGAAATGGTGATGTCCTGGACTCTTGCTTAGCAAGTGAGACCGTTGTTTTTACTGTTTCTCTCTACCTTCCTGAAGAGAAGCTACTGCTCTGCTTTGCCATGAATGGAGCAGTGTGATTTCAGGATGCAGTCACCTGATATGAATTTGGAATGTTTTGGCTGCTGACGTTTATGCTACCTAAGGCAGATCAAATGGCTTGTGAGAACTAGATCTATATCTCAGGAACTGCAGCGACTCTTTTTTATGAAGTGACTAGATTTCTTGTTTTGAGCAGCAAATTATATGTGCCTCAACTTTGCATCATGTTCAGAAACCGTTTAGAATTTGAAATCTTCATGTATTTACTTCATTTTATGCATTGAAACATATGGCATGTGATGGTGGTGATGTGTCAGAGTCTGGAAAATGTTGTGGGTTCAAGTGTTCACTCTCAAAATCTAGTAGTAAAATGAATGCATGTATTATACTTATCTGCAGTCACCAGAACATAAAACCAGAAAAATTGAAACAAAACACAACATGACAACACAAACATACACTCTGGGGATTCTCTCTGGAAAGCATTTCTAATGTAGTTATTCTAATGCCATCAATACACAAATTTTCAGATCCTGAGCTCCAACAGTGTGATTTATATAGTTTCTACACTTTCATTTTTGTTAAAGTAGGTGCTTGGGGATTTTGTGATGGGTTGATACATTATTACTTTTCTTTATTTCAAACTTGACAATTGTGTTTATTATCATGACTTTTTTATTCACTGGGAGAGTGACACATTTTCATAATGCAGAGGAATAGCTGTTCTTGCAAATTGAAATACGTAATTACACAACTACTTGTTTATTCCTAGAATGCAGTGCTTTCTAACTTGTTTGTGGTTGTTTCTGTCAGGTGGAAAAATCAATACTTTTTTTCTTAGAGCCCTCAACTTTTCTTTTTGTGATTTAACTGTAATACAAAATATCTGATACATATTCAGATAAATTTTTGAGGTGAACTGAGGTATCACCGGTATCTGTGATTTTTTTTTTTTCCTCAGAAATTATAAAATAGTTTCAAAATGAAGACTGTTACATACTCTATTTTTTCATTATTATTTTCAAATATGTTGCTGATTTCAGTGAGTTTCAATGGTATTTTCCATGATTTGCCATTTTGGAAAATTATGCTTTTACACAAATGAGATTTATGAACTTAATCTTAGTTATACATGCGTGTAAGAATAGACAGCTGGAAAAAATACAGTGTACCTCATCACTAACTTGACAAGTGTGTTTCAATATGAAATAATGTGCATGAATTTATATGTAAAAAACATGCTGTGCAGATATAAAGCAATATAGCGAAACTTATTGTCCTTTATAGGCTTCTGATGTTTTTGAACAGTATCTTTTCATATTTGACATGTACTTCTATGCTGAAAAAGTGCCTATTTAGTAGATGGGGAGGAGGGGGGGGGACGACACAGAGAAACAGTTTGTCTTCTCCAGTGGTGTGTATGTCTGAGTAGTGGGCTGAGCTTATCATCCATTATATTTAGTCTGACCTTATGCCACAAAAACACTGCCCCTGAGCAGCCTCCAGATTAAAAGGAAAGTTCTGAGGTGGATGACCAAAATGTTGGTGATTCAGAGAAAACTTGAAAATGAGGAGTGGAAATAGGACCTAAGGCCTCATGTAGTCACTCAGTGTCAAATACCTTTTCAGTAAATCAAAGGCATGGGGATGGTATGAATTTGTATCATCTCCAGTATAGCAGTGGTTCTTCTCTTGATGGTAAAGTGCAAGTGGTGTACTGAGTATTAAACTTTCACGAATACTGACCTTCTACGATATTATCTGCCATATTTATTTTTATACACTTCAACATATATATATATATATATATATATATATATTTTTTTTTTTATACATATATATATATATATATATATATATTTATTTTTTTGGCGTAGTAAATCAAAAGGGTCATTTAAGATGGTTAGCGTACAAAGAGTATAAACTAAGTAGTCCTTCCTTTGGGAGAAATCAAGAAATAGGCAACAAAATAATAGATAACCTTTTCAAAAATCACCTACCTTTTTCTGTAATAAGATATTGGTGTAGGTGAGTGTTTTATAAGTTCTGTCTAGAGCATAAGAGAAAGATAGGTGGAAGTCATTTCAATTCAGAATATATAATCTCTAAATATCATTCTTTAATAGCAACAGCTAAATCATGGGATTCCTTGTAATACATTAGAAAACACAATACATCTGTCATAGTGTTGGAAATGAAAGTGTTGTGCAGAGTGAACAAGGAACTAGATTTGCTGGCTTCATGAAGAACTCTTTTTTTTCTTTGGCCAACTGAAAAAGTATTAATAGTTGTTAGAAAAGAAAAAAATAAGTGCTGTTGGCTGGCTTCAGAAGGAAAATAACACTACTGAAATACACAAATGCTGGAATATTTTCTTGCTGTAGATTATACAGCGTCAACACAGGGATTAGCACAAGTTTTGTGACACGTGTGTCTGCAAGGACTAGGTGAGATACCTCTCTTGTGATAATGAAGAACTGAAATTTGGCCATGATAAATAAAGACAATGCCTTTGGCTATAAAACATGACTTAGTTGTTTTGGTTATTCTTTTAGTTTAACTCCCAGACGCTATCTGAACTAAATACAACCTAAGCTACGTGTGGTTTCAGACTTGGATTTCCTAAATCCTCATTCTGTCAGGAGTATTTTATAGAAAATATAAAACCCGCTCTTTACGGAATGACATTTTGGTGTTTGAAAATTAAGTATTTAAAGCTTTGAATTGTTATAGAGTTATTATTGCACTTTAAGTACATAGAAAAGTATTGACATGTAGGCTTGTTTTTTTGTTATTGATTTTTATTTTTTTTAAAATGTTTTTAGTTTGTCTTTGGTTTGTGATTAGTTACTCATCTGGGAGATTGAAGAAACACAGGTTATTGAAATGCAGGATAGAATATTAAGTGTAGACAACATATTATAGTTGCCTGTATTCTCAGAGAAAGAAGAGTTTCATTGCATTCTGCTTTCAGAAATGAAATATATTTTATGCTGAATTTTTGAATTAAATATTCTGTGCCTGTCTAATTCTGAATGCTTATTTGACTCTGATAGAAAGGGTAGTAACAAACATAAATAGCTCCTTATATCATTTTTATCCTGACTCTTAAGATGCTTGTATGTCAGTGCTTTTATGCCTTGGGGAATACTTTTTATTTTAATAGAATGTCAGTTGCATTATTCTATTTGGCTATCAGCCTAATTATAAAGTAATGACATGTGACACATCATTAATACTGACATACCTTGGAAAAAGTCCCGATTTTTTTTCTGCCAGTAGCCTGAGGCCAACATGAAAAATTTAAAACTCCTGCTTTTACTTCCCCTCCAACAGAGTCCATTTCAGTCGGCACTTAAAAGACATAAGACATTAGAATGCTTGCTCTTTGCTCATACAGGAATCTTAGATTTCAGCAACACTAATTTAGGGCTGGAAGTTGAGTCTTAAAGACAATTCTTCAAATGTAAATGAGGTTTATAATGTGCAGTTTTGCCTAGTTTCAGAGCTTAACTTATCCTGTTTCATCTTCTGTGTGCCACAGGTAATTAAATAAGTAGAAGTTGCATTTTGAAGAACCTCATTTTAGACATACTGCTGGTCCTTCTAAACCTTTGTTTATCTTTCTGTTCTTACTTTTCTTAGTCAAGTATAGGCTGAAAGGATTAAGAGTTCTAATTTGGGAAGTTGATGGTTATTACATTGCTGTCTGAACTAGCTTCATTTGAGAGGTGATAGCCTTATTTTGTAAGGTTGCCCTAGTCTGAGTTCTTGTGATTGAGACTTGGATTCTCTGCTTTCCTCACTGCCCCACATGTTAAGAGCTTTTGCCAAAGCTGATTAGAATTAGTAACAGTTGATGCTTCCAGTATTGTAATGAAGCTACGGAGGTGTTCTTTTGTGTCAATTGTTGAAGGTCATATGCCAGTGCCCCTGTACTGAAAATGCTAAATTTGTGATCTCGGGTACTTCTTAGTTTACCGTCTTCTGATATTCCTGCTAGAAGCTAAGCTTCCCAGGTGTGATACTTTAAAAATCTTGTTGTAAAAGAGCATTAGAACACTGTTACCAACTTCTAGTAACCATTGTCTTCTGCTTGTACAAGAGATGACTTCCAGTGTTGACTGCATATAATGTGATGCTCTCATGTGGCTTTTATCAGGTGTTCATTTGAAGATTGATAGAAAAAAAAATATGAGAACTGTATTCCCTAGAGCCTGTGAGATCAAGGAAGGACGTAGTAGGTGGGATTTTTTTAAGTGCTGTCACTCAGTTTGATAAGAGAAGAATTGCGCTGATGCACCGTGTTTCTGAATATGCTGTCGCAACCTATGCTTGCATCTTGCTTCCTGTGAAAACTGCAGAGTTTGCTACTACTGTGTTCTAAGTGCAAATGCCAGGGCAGACTAAAGGATGTGAAATGTAGTTTAATTAAAAATGGATGAATATACACAAAATGTAGTTTCTTCTGAGAAGAGTAGTGGTATTGCTGCAGTTAGTGTAGAGTGTGGATGCTGCTTTTGGTTTCATTCTGATTCTCCTAGGTACAGGGTTGACTTTGATATATCCACGTCTATGGACCTCAGGAATTCCAATTGTAAAAATAGCATTTTCCTCCCTATTCAGTATGAACATCATGGGGATGTTGTCATGCTGTTCTGGAGTGGTTGGTTGCTGTTAAAGTAAAATAGATGGTATGTAGGGGGCATGAACTCGATACTGAAGGGCAGTATATTTACTAGATTCTGTGGAGTGCCTTTCATGTGGTGAGACTACATTTTGTGTTATGGTCTCATCTCTCTTCATACTAATTTTTTCCGTTGTATCTTCCTGCTGTGCCACCTGATGCTCTATCCCATCCTGGAATGCTTACTGTCAATGCT